CGGATACGTGAAACTGGCGTGCATTCTGTGCGATAATGCAACTCATGCGTTGATCAGCAAGTTCTCCAAGAACTCTCAATGAGCGGAAGAAGGCGAATGAGGCCATCCGTGGAACATCCTTGCGGTTGCTGATGCCATGGGAAGAATGCATGAAAGACAAAGCTGATGCTCTATGATGATTCCATCAGAAAGTTGTATATTAAGAAATATTATTGTGCCCCTCCAAACCTTTATAAATTCTCAGCATTGTTGAATAACAAAACCCATACTATACTTCAAAACTTGTCCATGTTTGCTTACAATGCTATGTTGTTTAGGACAGAATATATCTCAGAACACAATGTAACCTAAAGTTGATTATTTTCCCTTCTTCATGTATATTATCCGTGCGTGTAAATATTGATTTATAAATGCATTGTACTACAGGCCTGTGGCCTTTCAGTACCGGAAATAAATATATATATGATAAACACCGAAGAATATTTATTGATAACATTAAATAATTTCATTACAATATGTTAAAAATAGGTAAAGTTGTTAATATAAGTAAAATACATTATATATACAGAAATAATGAGTATATTTTGGTATCCGGTACAAGATGCGGCATCATGTTGATGATTTGAGTCATAAATAATTATGACAACAAAGCAGAGATGTAATCAAAGTTGTTGTGGTAGAATTTAATCGCACTTCATGTATAACAGATATACACTTTACAGAAAGTAGGGGAACTTCATTTTTATTTACGATTGAAAAAAATGGGGGATATATCGGAGTCAATTAATGTTGATATCATAATGATGAATGTTTTGAGAGAACATAACCATTTGCACTTCCTTATGACTATAGTTGTTTGTACAGTAATCGCTCTTGAAAGTGTATGAAAATATATGCATGTGTACGAAAAAAAACAAAAAAACCAATTCAAAATAAAAAAAACGGCTAGAAGCAAACACTAACAACTGTTTGATGTAGGGTGACAGTCAAAATTAATGGTCTTCAGTGATTTATCAACCTTGAAAACCGTCAACATCAAGAATAACACCCCATGCACGTGTACAGGGCTATTGCGTTGTGCACGTGCATACCATGCTTTGTGTTTATGGGGTGGTGATAAAGCGAAATGGTGGTGCGTTCGTAAGATGTCTGCCTTTGAACAGTTTGTTAACGCTAATACTTCCTATCCAAATTGAAAGTTCTGGTTCCCCTACTTTTTTAAGAGTATATCTTATCTCTGACACGCTTAAGTGATATTCTCACTGAGAAACCCACAAAATGTATCTGTATCAGTTCATACTAATGAATGAAATGCCATCTGTAATTAGTAAGCATTGGCCGCACCTCTCAGAATCATCTTACCTGTGACATTGCTGACAGAACTTGTGAATAACAAACAGTTCATAACCAACCTCAGTCGAGTAATCAAAACAATGACAACTAGTTTATATATATATTCTACGCGTTTCATACACACAGATAGTTCAAATGTTTTTCAGGAAGTAACAATAAAATATCACGTTGGTTTACTGGATTAATAAAAAACAAAAAAAAACCACACCAAAATGACATATATTTGCTGTAACCAAAAGAAAGTTTCGGTCACTTATTTAAGTCAACAGTAAAAATATAAAAGTCCCATGAAGCTCCATGTAAATATATACGTACATGTTCTATACAGAGGGGACTGCGGATACTCAGTGTAGCATATGGTCACGCATGTTGTCTGTATTGGGTTCACTGACCACAGGATGTACTATAACGCAATCTATGTTGAATTATATACGGGGAGGCTTTGATTATGCCTTGAATCCAATGAAGCGCCACTTAAATCATATGTCTACATGTTAAGTTGAAGGTAACCAGTACTGTTTACTGGTCCGTCTGGCTAAATACAAATAACGTGTTCTCCTTGTCCCTTTGGTCATCTAGGTACAGGACCTAGTTCCTGCTGCTCGTACGAAGGTTTAATTATAGGATGAGGTCATGCTCTGCAATATGGGTGATCATATGTCATCGTTCCCGATGGCCTTTGTCTTGCTGAAGTATTTAGTAACAGTTTTGCTTGCTAAACTTAATTCACACACAAACATCATCATTGCTTACTGTTGCGTCAAATAACTTCCGAGATATGATATCATACCTGCTTGACAACCATACAAGAATCGGTATTGTAACGTCGCATCACCCAAACAAGGAAATTGTTCATAAAAAATGTTTGCCTTTATCTGTCTCTCCAACTTTTATAAATGACACTCAAGGAAGAGACTTCCGACAACCACTTCCTTTACTATTTCTAATATTGTATTACTTGAACATGATCGACAGTTACTGCATTTGCAGGTGTTTATGATTGGTGATAGTGGTGGAACGTAAACGCTCATCATACACTCAGTATTATATGACCATATTGATCAATAGTATTCAATCAACACGAGTCTGTCAAATCCTTAAATAAGAGTGTTTAGAAACTGTTGGCCTCTTCAAAAACGCAGATACGTTAAGGAGTTTGGATACAAAACATCAAAATGTCAAGAAATTGCTAAATTTTGTATCATTTTGAAGAAAAGTGTGTCCCAAATCTAATTATAATGTAATAAAAATAGCAAGTCACCACAGCATTTGTTTGACAAGTGGCGCCCCCTTGTGGCACCGTCTGTAAAAAGTAATGTGTCAATAAACGTTCTCTTAAAAGTAAATGGTTTACTTTTATTATTCAATATGTGTTTTTTTTATAAATATACTTCAGCACTGATATGAAATATAGCAGGAGAACCAATTTTCAAGGCAGTATGTAGGATCGGACACATTAATTAACTTCTAAAAAAACAGGAATTAAAAAAATAATATTAATTCATCAATGAAAAAAAGATTTTAGTAAATTCACACTAGATTAATATTACAAAAAAATGTATCAACAATATCTCCAATTAAAACAGCATACCCAAATTAAAGTTGATAAGGGGAGATACCTCTTGCCCAGGTTTACCTCAGGATAAATGCTTGCGTGGCGGAAGTATGATTAGAAGCAAGATAACGGGAAATAACTGATACTCGCTTGTACTGTCGCGTCCCGTCGCATACGCTATGCGCACAAACAAAAGTATCCAACCTCTCTAAGACATGTTTCATCCATTATGGTATGAGGGAAAAAATAATTCTTGCATTTATATCGTAATGGTCTTGGTCACATTTTGTGTCAAACTTAGAAACGCCCACTACATGTCTTCCTGTATAAATAAACGAAATCGGCATTCAGCCTCTGAATGGTGTATCTCTAATGGAACAACCTTTGAGCAAAGGTTGCAATCTTACTAGTATGTTTGAAATCGTAGCTGAGGACCATGAACGATAGTCCACAAAACATTGTCCAGTGAAGACTCCAAGTGTTGGAACGACAGGTATAGTGCTCGACATGAGAGGACTCTGGGGTTTATGCACGGATCCCAATTTTGTTTTATAAATCGATCAGAGGAATGGAATTTCTAATGAGATACTTATTGAACCAAAGATCCTAACTGAACGAACTGATCAATGGTATAATACATGAAGCTTCAATTCAACTTTTATGGCAGTAGTCCATTTGGTTTGTATTGACTCTGCCGATACAATATGTTCTCTGGTTCATATCTCGTATTGCATGTCGGCTAGGTAACAATCGATCCTTGGCAAACTTTCAAACTGTTGGCACATTGTGCAGTGTGCAACACCGCCAGGGTGTGACGACACATGATCAATCAAAACAATAAGTCTGGAAACACGATTCTCCAGGGAGGGACCATACACCGCCCATTGGACACACTGGAGGCCAGTTTATCCTTCCTTGTCAGAAAATATATAGGCACTTTTAAAGTTTTCTTAAACATTCAAACACGGCAATTTTGTTGTTCTTCATGGTGACATATAAACAGTCATACTGATCAAAGCAAACAGCAACAGGACCACGAAATCTACCCACATCGGGACATATTTGTTCTTGCTCAGCACCATCATTGCCAATGTTTGTCACTTTGTTCAGTGAATAATCTGCAAAGAAAACGTCACCCTTTGAATTCGCCGTCACACCTCGGGGACACTGAGCCTCTCTGCACTGAAATATACACTCGCCAGCCAGGGAGACTTTGGTGATAGTGTTGTTACTGACGTCAGCTACAAGGACGTTACCATCTCGCGAGAAGGAAATATACTTTGGAGCTTTGAATAACATATTTGACGGATCTGGAATAGTTGTAAGAAGTGTTAAGTTGTCGCGCAACTTTAAATCTAGAATGTCAACTGTGGATTGCGCGCATGCTGCGATTCTGTTTGATCCGAGATAGGTTATTCCAAAATATTTCTTATCAGTGGAAACCTCTTCACATTTCTGAAGTTCTGGCTCTACCGTCAGTACAGAAACCAGCATCTTGTGCGGAGTAGTCACAATGACGTCATGACAATCTATTTTAGCCAGTCCCCAGGGTTTTCCAGGTAGATTCATGCTCTCTGTCTTAGTTTGTCTGTGATCCAACGAAAGCCTGATACGTTTCACTGCCCTATTTGCCGTATCTGTTACAATGACATGAGAGAAGCCACAATGCCTGAACACGACAATATCTGTCAAAGAACTATTTTTTGTTTAACCTTCTATCAAGGAGATACACCCTGTATTCTGCTTTCTGTATTCACCTGCAAGTAAAAGGAAAGGAAATGTTAAAGTTCAAAAGTAGCATTTGAACAGAGATATTGGATGAACATTCTAAACTACAAGCAGTTGTCCTTCCACTAAATTGTTCCTTTCAAGCTTAGCCTATCAATGATAAGGCGGAGACTGGTTGTAGGTCCCTTAACGTATCAGAGATGATATGTTTGCAATTGATCTACGGATGCACAACGCCTAATCATCAAATACCCGGCTAGTTTAGTTTATCAGGAGTAAATCATGTATGATCTATTTAAAAGCAATCGTGATTCTGTTTTTCACGAGTTCGTTTAGACTGCAGACCAGTCACAATGCAAAGTACCTTTGTCACGTTCCGACTGTAGATCTTTAAAAACATATTCATCGTTAGTGTTTACATCATCTGCCGTACCCGTTTCACTGAAACAAATTAGACAATGTAGCACTTCATGATGTCATCATTAACCTTCAGTATAACTATAGAAGCACACAATAATAATCATATATTTTTATCAATGCCGGAATGAACGTATCAATATTTTATAATATTCTAAGTATTTTGAAATGTAATTATGAATATTAAGGACAATAATACTTTTCCAACATCCAAATGAATGAGTATTATTACATTGTGATACCGGGATGAATATTATCTACTTCTGTAACTGTACTTTCGTAGGTTTGCAACAGAAACGCAAAACTTTGTTTTACCTTTTCACCCTGTCCACCACCCGTTTTCCTATTTTAGAGATTCGTTCATTCAACAGTGAAATCAGAGTCTCACCGCTGTGTGATTCATTTATCCCGCTGAAAATGGAATCTGTGTAAAGCATTAGCTTACGGTGCATGTCCACAGTCATGACATAGTGGGACGCCCTGCCAGTATTCTCATCAACAGTTACCAATGACCGGTGGTCAGATAGAGCAGACATCATGATGAAGGCTTTGTGGATTTTTAAACATCTTTCTTCAGACATCAACAGATTACTACCAATACTATATGCTGATGTCTCTTCTTTCAATGTTGACAATCTCCTGTTAAATACTTTGGTTGTCTTAGTATCTTCGGGCCTGATAACTCCGTAGATCACATCAAATGGTTCATCCGTGAAATAACGTGCATACGTCATTGCCTTGGCTATGGATTTGTTGTATTGTCTTTCTGCATCTAAGTCATCTGTGCCCTCGATGTTAGAGGCTGAGATACTTCCATCAATGTCTTCGCTGTCCTCTACGAAGGTGAGCAGTGTTGGGGGAATGGATTTCGATATCAACAGAGAGTCACAAATCACCGTCTCGGGACGGGCGTCACAGTTCTTCAAGTTGCATATTGCAGCCATAGATCTGCCAACAACTGCTCTACCGGCCTTTGAGATGAAGTCTCTCAGACGTGAGGTGAGGTTCCTATACTTGCCTTCAGCTTCAAATGTTTTGAACATCAGTGATGGGAATATTCCTTATAGTAGTAAATAGATTATTCAAATCAATTATTATATATCTTGCAGCATGAAAGAAATGTATTAGATCATTTACATCAAACATTACACCTTTAGTAAACGTGATTTCTGCCAGTCTCGTAATGAAGTTATTTAAGGTACATTTTGTACAAGAATGTAGATACAATATATGTGTAAAGTGAAATCAGAAAAATGACCTGCATGTTCAAAGTATGTTCTTTAAGAAATGTCTGATTCTCCTTTCGGACAAAAGCTGTCAGTGTGTTGTAAGAGGTAAAAAATAAACGGTAAAAGAAATGATAATGTTTTCGAACCTTTTGTGGCAACTGATTCTATAATCTCCATCAGAGAGTTTCTGCGTTCCATCACAGTGGGTGGAAATGTTGATGCCGAAGTGTACCTGACGTAGTGTAGGTCAGCTGAAGCTGTCGGGTCTGTATGAAGATACGAAATATTTTTTGAGTTTTAGCACGCGTGGACATGCAATGCACATTCATTAAAGATAGCACATGCTATCCGGTCTCCGACACCCGCACCTGAAAACGTTAAAACAGGCAAGGTATCGGAATGAGAAATATGATTCATATTTTCTGTAAAATGTTATCCCTATTTTTTTTTGATGTGGCAGCTTGTTGATGTTCATATCTGAATTATTTGTAATTGGTATAGAAAACAACAGGCAGAAATAACCATTTGGTACTGGTGTGTGTGTAAGACATGCACATCTACTTCCATATGTACATGGATGAGCCGATATGGTCAAGTTTCCTACACCTGGTGTCAATACTATTTCAATGTGGTACATAAAGATATGCTCATTGTGTAGTCTGAATCGTAAATTGACTTTGTGTTATTCATTTTAAAACAGTGTTGTGACTGTATTACGTTGTTTCTGTTAAGACTCAGTTGAGAACAGATATGGTGATCAAGACGGGAGTGGACGTTTCCATTGCAGCTAGACCATTCCCGTGTCACCCCACCCAGCATGTTACAAAATGACCCGTGAAGATCCGGGTTAGAATTGGTCTTCAGTAACCCATGCTTGTCGTAAGAGGCGACAAACAGGATCGGGTGGTCAGGCTCGCTGACGCATGTCATCGTATCATAATTGCATAGATCGATGCGCATGATGGTGATTACTGGATTGTCTGTTCCAAACGCGATCATTTACAGACCGCACTCATATGACTGGAATATTGTTGAGTGTGGTGTTAAACAAACAAGCAAACAAAGTGTTACAAAATGTTCCAGAAGCAAAAACGTGCATCTGAAGGGTCATCTCTCATTGCAGTTTCTGTCATCTCATATTAATAGCAATGCCAACATTGTTTCGATAATCATTTTCAGCTTGGGTGCCCAGTCTGGTCCTCTTTTTTGAAGCTTGACCGCTGTTATTCCAAAACAATTACTTTATTGTTGTAACAGGTGTTTCTATTTTGCATGGCCATTTTGCATCTTTAGCGCTTGTCTGCCATTGTAATTCCTCTGAAGTACCGTGTATATGTACCGTAAAAATATAATTTTTTTTGCGTAATATAAGCATAAAGCATTTTGCAATACAGATAAACAGGTGTTTACTGTGAAGCAATATTGACGGCGATATTCAAATTCGGATTGATATCTGAGGTTAAATGAGGCCGAAATTCTCCAAAGGAATGAAATGGCTAACAGGATCGGGTGGTCAGGCTCGCTGACTTCGTTGACACATGTCATCGTATCCCAACTGCACATGATTTTGATTACTTGATTGTCAGGTCCAAATGCCATCATTTACAGACCCCCGCCATATGACTGGAATATCGTTGAGTGTGGTGTTAAACAAACAAGCAAACAAAGTGTTACAAAATGTTCCAGAAGCGAAACGTGTATCTGAAGGGTCATCTCTCATTGCAATTTCTGTCATCTCATATTAATAGCAATGCCAACATTGTTTCGATCATCTTTTACAGCTTGAGTGCCCAGTCTGGGCCTATTTTGGAAGCTTGACTACTGTCATTCTATAAACATTACTTTATTGTTGTAACAGGTGTTTCTATTTTGCATGGCCATTTTGCATCTTTAGCGCTTGTCTGCCATTGTAATTCCTTTGCAGTACCGTGTATTGATATGTAAACATATACATCTCTGCACAACCAAATATTAATTGCAATATGTCATTGATTTCAGACATGATCTCGTTCATAGTTCATCCCAGTGTAGAAACCTTCTTTTTTCGTAATATCAGCATAAAGCATTTTGCATGAGACGTTTCACATGCACATGAAGCACGCGAGGAAGATGGCGCCCTCATTACAGATAAACAGATGTTTACTGTGAAGCAATATTGACGGCGATATTCAAATTGATATCTGAAGTAAAAGGAGGCCGAAATTGTCCAAAGGAATGAAATGGCAAACCATTGGCATAGAACCGGGATCTCTTGTCGGGCTATAGGCAGACAGTTGAATACCAGCCATACAACTGTTAGCAGACAGACGGCGACAGAGAAAATCAGATGCCAGGGAAGACATGGCTCTTGTCAGGATGGCTGACACAATCCGTTCATCAGCAGTGTTCAGTCACGGAACCAATGGCGGCCACACCAGAGAGTCTCCCCAAGAACTGGGCGAAGACGTCTCCGTGCTGCTGGTCTGAGGGCTAGACGTCCTGTTCGAAGACCCTTACTGACCCCTAGACACAAACACGATAGTCTAAATTGGTGCATGGCAAGGCAGAACTGGAACATGAGGTCATGGCGCCGCATTCACTGGTCCGACGAAAGTCGGGCCTTGCCGCACGTCACTGATGGTCGTGCGATGGTAAAGCGGTCACTGGGAAATATCCAGGAAGAAGTCCTTTTTGGCTTAGGTAGCGTCATGGAGTGGGTCTACTGTTCGTTTTTGTTTTGTTACTTTAAACTGGATTTGTTTGTTAATCATTCATGGGAATCTTGGGACAGCGGTACCAAAATGAAATCCTGAATCAACATGTGGTGCCTAATTTTGACAACCCTGTTCTTGCCAGTCGCCCACTATTCATGGATGACAGTGCCCGACTCTGCTGCGCACGCGCAGTTCACCAGCTCCTTCAAGACAATGCAATTGAAACGATGCCATGGCCAGCTCGACGACCAGACCTGAATCCCCTGGAGCATGTGTGGGACATTATGGGACGCAAGACAAACTGAGAGATCCTCCCATTAACAATCTGCAAGATTTATCTCAGGATTTAGCGGAGGAGTGACGCACGATACCATATGAGGACATTCAGAAGATTCATCGAGAGCATGAGACGAAGTGTCAGAGACACCATTGCTGCCAGAGGAAGATACACAAGATACTGAAGAGACTTCACTTTGGAAAACTGTAATGTGTCTGATGTTTGTTTGTTGCAGAAAAATTCTGCTGCCGCCATGTTGAGCCTCTTTAGGACAATACTTTTGCGTCATTTGATTCAATGGGTTTTTATGGTCATTAAATGATGCCGCTCAAAACATCGTTGTATCAGCTTTTTAGCGTGAAATGTCCCATAAAATACTCAAGGAAGACAAGGTCTAGGTAAAGAATCCATTGTAGAAACGCTGCTTACGATTATATATTTCATAGTGAGCTATATGTAACGCAACCTTTCTATACAGTGGACTGTGCATGACTTCTGCTGAGGTGTATAGTTGCTTTTCGGATTCATTTGTCATTTTGCTGCTAGTCTCCCGGATGGAGCCGTACGTCTCCACAACTTAGTGTGCCTGTCTTCCGGATGGAAAGACGTACCTGGACAGTCGGAAACAATATGTTTTCACGTGTTTCTTATGTCAGCTTCTACACACTGTTTGGTAACTACAGAATTCATGATCTCCCTTTTTAATGCTTCCAAACAGACGCTCTCAATGTAGAAACAGTGGCAGAGAAGAGAGGAGGCGGAAGAAGACAATGATTCCTGAGTTGGTGAACTAAGATCGAAGTCAGATAGCTTGGCGAGGTTTAAACTTTCGGTTCACAGAGGAACACATGGCAACAGCCAGTCGGATGCCTATATTGTAAATATACATGTAAAGGTAGCTGTTTACACATTCCCTTAACAATAGCTAGCTAAGTCTGTTTATACACACAATACATTCTGTATGAGTAGAACCTTTCACGCGTAACGTCTCTTGCACATAAACAACAAATTGAATAACAAGCTTTTTATTTGACATTCCCGGATCACCAGACTGCACCTTTAACTGCTTTCAAATTGCTTTGTCAAGTGTTTTTCTTCACTGTCCTCTTGACAATCAACACACATGTGGTTCATGAATATCTCAGGCGTATTGATCATGTATGCAGGATCTTGTTTGAACAGTTGGTGCGTATTTCAGATGCATTGGAGGTGTAATGCTATTCAGATACACATTTTAACAGGCGCGAGATTTCATTTCCTATTGTTATTTAAACTGCCGTCCAAAAGAAAGTTATCAGTTTTAAAGTAACTGTATACAAAACAATAATGTTGGTACAGGTTTGAACCCAAGCAGAAGACATTCGCCAAAACGCAACATTGTTATGATAACAACACAGCTGCTCGAAAACCTCGGACGAATCGTGAATTCTACAAAACGCGATAAACGTAATTGTGGGGAATTGGTCCAAATGCACGTGTATGATTGTGTCATACATACTGATGTTGGACAGAGCAAGCATGCAGCTTAAAAATAATTTCCGTTTGTAAAACAATTATCATAAATCTCATTTACGTCTTCGTTTCTATTTTGTGATCAAATGAAGAATGACTTTCTTTTACCTAGTAGTTTATTTATCTATGTATCTACATGAAATGTAATTCAACATGATAGTCATAATTCAATATTACTGAAGAATATAACATATAAATGAATCATGAGTATCGCAGAGTTCGGTAATGAATTATTGTCCACAGACGCCACACAGAAGAAACCAGGGTAAATACACATCTGGTAATGGATGCCAGTGTCTCAAAGTATTTACGTTGTTGGATGCTCCAAAACCTTCTGACACCATTCCTGTGGTACGACACGTTGGATACAATTGTTCTCATTAATACGGTAGGACTCTGGACCATCACTGTCGAAGAACGCAACTCCACTGAAGTAAGGCACATATACCTCAAGAACATATATGTCTTCATGACGTTCCACTTTGTGGAACGTAAACTTCAGAGATTGTGTGATCCCATCTCGGTGAACAGTGGCCCTCTTCGGCGTCAGAAACAAAACCCTCGAAGCAATTTGGTACTGTAATTCTGACTTGAGAGTCTCATGAAGCTCCTTCTTCAGTTCAAATCCTTCCATGGATAACTTTCGTGAGTTGTAGGTGCGCATTGTTTGATCTTGTTCAGCAATTCCTAGGAAATAATACCCGCCCCCTTTCTGGTTTGCAAAGGATGAGATGTATTCCCTCAGACGAAGTTTGTCCACGATGTAGGGTGCCCAATCACTTCTCGCCACCTGGCCGGCATGTGGGAAGGATTTTAGTTGCACGTTGCTGGCCTCTTGTAGTCCATGAAGTGACTTCTCCTCATACTCTCCACCTGATCTGTCTTTACTCAGGATGTAACGCATGTTCAAAACTGTGGGTCTAGCAAAACCTTTGTTGAGGTTGATGTGTGTGTTGTAGTTTACGGTAGATATAGTTGATGAAGAGTTGCATGTGATCGAGAGGCAGTTGGGTTCTCCTTTCAGCCAATCTCTGAAGTAACTATCATGGAATAAGACTCCATCCTCAATTAGTTCATTTAGCCTATCATCAATCAGTTCGTCAACTAGTGCAAGAGACCTGTCGCTGTCATCCATATGTGTAAAATTTATCAGCAAGATGCCACCGTTTGAGTTTCTAAGCGCACAAATATGTTCAAAAATACGCTCTTTTTCCTTGTTTTTTCTGTCAGTCTTTTCCTGTTTATCTTTGTTTTTGGGTACACTTTGTTCATGTTCATGTTCCTTGTTTTTGTCCATTTTGCTTTTCTTGGACGAGCTTGCCTTTGTTCCCACGGAATCTTTATCCTTTGGCGGACAGATGCTTCTGATGTCAACATGCATCGATAGGACGACACGCTGTGATGTCTCCATACCACTTACAATGGTCTTGCATTTTGAACAGTCTGAAAAATCCACATCCAGAGTTTAGCTGGACTCGGTCATCTGAACTTTTCTCAAATGGTCGCATTAAATATATTATCCTTCATATGTGCTTCTCGATGAACATATAGTGTGTTTTCAATATTACTCAGTAATACATATATGTGTACATTTCACTAGCCACTCGTTACTAAAAGATTCACCGTTTGCCGGTAAGACTTCTGTCCGTATCACCCCCTCCTCACTCTTAAAGAAATATACATTATTTAAATTTTGGATGGGGATATGGAAGGAAGTCTTTCCTTTTTAAGAGATTCCATTCTTATTTTTACCTTCGTCATTTGTGCCATGTCCACTGTCCTTGGGGGTAGAAGGCTTTGGACTCTCATGAAGTTGTTTCTCATCACCACCCTCACGTTTTCTCTTCGTACCACGTTCAGAGGAACAGCTCATAGTGACGGCATACACGTATGTCTGGATACGCTGAAACTCCAGCGGGTACCTGCTCTACACAGTCACTTAACAGCTGACGATGAACTGATTTCTCATACACCGGAGAGTACATGTAGTTCGTATACACGGTGGAGTTTGTCAGTGTGCTTTCCTGAGTGGTTCCTATTTGTGTTGATTTCAGTGACTGGCTGTAACTCGGCTCTAGCGTGACCACATGATATATAACCTGGGTGCAGTGTTCAAGGACACACTTGATTTGTATAACGTGGGTCTCAATACATGCTTTTAGAAACTTGGAGGCAATTATTTCTTTTGTAGCCTAGCGCTTTAAGCTCCAACGAACACATTCATGGTCATTACCTCGTCTGTAATCTAGATCTAAATTCTAGAATGACAAAGGTCGTGTATCACATGTCTGTATTTACGCATTTCGTTTCACTCTGTACGACAATGCATTGAGTAATGAAATGTTTACTGGGGTACAGTTGGACCAGATGCTTAAGGTGTCGCAATTCACGATGTACATTTGTGTACGTTAGGCTTGGAAGTAACTATTGGGTTTGAATCCCAATTTCGACCAATTTATTTGTTTTGTTCCGACGGCTCCAGATAGGTAGTTAGGCTTTTCCTCTCACACTAAGCTTATACACTGTGATGTAGTTGTTGTCGCTGCTCACCCGTGAAGATCCATGTTAGAATTGATTTTCAATAACCCATGCTTCTCGTGTGGTGTTAAACCCAACTCTCTCTCACTCATTCGGGTCCACATTTAACATCATTGTGAAAGAGTGTGTGTATCGCTACGCATCTAGGCATAACAACGCTTGCGACTACTGTACATGGAAAGAACACTACAGTTGACAAGAGAGATGGTAACTCTAAATCCATTGATTAACGCACATATTTTCACTAATTTGCCTTTCCTTTTTCCTAGCGGAACGTGTTTGGGCACGACGAAAGTGGTTAGGCTCAAAATGTAATAGTCGTCCATGATATTCAGCTACTGTCAAAAGCCTGTGTCCGATGCCTGTAAATAAATATCACGTTTCACGCACTAATATGTACAAATCAATTAGTTTTATTTTAAAACTGGATTTGTTCAGAATTTCCCGAATCGACCAATTTATGAGGACAAAGACAACAGAAGGAATGGTGTTTTAAATTACACAATTTAAGTAGGCAAAATATATATTCATATAACATGTAAATAGAGTATTATGGTAATGTGCGAAGCGCCCTATCATTCACTGGAAGACGGTGGTGTAGCCTATTGGTCAATGCGCTTGCTCATCACGCCTAAGACCCAGGTTTAATTCCCCATTTGGGTACAATGTGTGAAGCCAATTCCTGGTGTTAGCAATCCCCCGCCGTCATATTGCTGGAATATTGCTAAAAGCGAGATGTACCCCTTGAACTAATTCAGTCCTTAATGATTTATGTCATTCGGCTCTGTAGTCAGATGATACTGTAGCCTGATGTGAGTGTGCAAGCATTACACAAAACATGTTTTGCCTGAACATATTATAGCATACCTTAGCCAGATCATGTCTTCACGAGGCGGTGGGGTATGCTAGTGGTTAAAGCGTTCGTTTGTCAAGCGGGTACAATATTGCAGGGGCTTATGTAACAAATATGCGTGGAAAGTGCCTGTTAATTTTTGGAACCACTGGTAATTGTAATCAGTAATGCATATGGATTCAGAATGGATTCTGATGATTATAAGTGTCATTCTTCGGTAACTGAACATCGGTAGCCATAATGGAACTGCAACACCAATGTGAGAAAAACATATTTGTATTAACCTATCACAACAAAGGCACGTAGCATATCAAAATGTACCTTGTGATGGGTGTTTTACAACTACCAGTTTATATATCATGAATCCCAATAATATATGTACGCATAATACTTACTATGATCATAATTGCCTTTGCCAAAACCGAAGGTTTCTTCTCGAGGGAATATATTAAACCCTGTTTGTATGTGTATATTTATGTAGTAGCAATTTAACTCAAAATACCCTAAATGGATTTCAATGAAACTTAATGGATCTCTTGGGTATGTATCCAGGGCAAATCAATTAGATGTTGAAGAAAGTACACTCTTCAAATAAAAAAAATTAAAAAAAAGAAACGCGAAAACAAAACATCATTGAGAAATTTGGTCTCATTCTATATCTGTAAGTCACCGAAAACAAACGATACAGCATTGAAATTATGTAGAGCAATACATTGGTATCTCGTGCACATTTCACAAGAATGAAAGTCATCATTGTCAGTACTGCTGTCCACGAGGTGACGTTGACGTTACTACCATGTATGACCAACTCTTACTGCTGGAACTGCACGACACCTCCTTGACACAGATCGAATTAATTGTTGGATGTTTCGTTGTGGAATCGTTCTCCACTTCCTCCTGCAGCATGCTGAACAACTGTTACAGGGTCAATGGCGGATTACGACTTTGACGTACACGTTTAGCGATCTGATCCCACAGATACTCAATTGGTTTCAGATCCGGGGATCTGGAGGGCCAGGGGAGGACACTGATGTTGTTATTGGCCAGGTCGTCCTCTGTAGCACGTGCTGTGTGAGGCCTGGTGTTATCCTGTTAGTACAGCTCCCTCTGACAGTCGACAAGGCGAGGACAGAGAATCCGGTCGATATATCGAGCGGCCGTTAGATTGCCGTGGACGAGCACCAATTCCGATCTACAGGTGTATGAGATGGCTCCCTACTCTATGAAAGCATCTCCACCCAATCTGTCCACTTGCGTGATGCAGTTGGGTACAAAACATTCATTGCGTGGACTGTAGACAGGTTGTCTTCCGTCACGTCGCTTGCGTGGATACCGCGATTCATCACTGGAAGTGCCTCAAGTTTCCATGGCTGCACCGTGTTACACCACCTGACTCACGGACGTTGATGTAATCGTGTCAGAGAGGAGATAACTTTTGGATGTCTGGCAGGCATACCTTCCTCTCGGTGACCCTACTTGTGCTGTGTCCCTGGCAGAACGATGGCAGTCACGTAGGTGGGTTACCAGGATGTAGCAATCTTGGGCTGTCGGGTGACACGCTTTCTTCCTGGTCTTGGATGGTCATTTGTTCAACTGGAATGTACAAATCGATCCCACAAACGAGGTATTGAGCTGGGATGAACGCTGAAGGCTCTGGCCATGACACTCTTTGATACGTCAGCTGGTAATCGTCCAATGGTCATATTTCAGTCGGCACCGTTAAGACGTCCCATTTTATCATCCAGTATATCTTGCAAGGGTTTTGGATGAACTTGTGGGATGCATTTGGGTCTTTTATAGCTTTGCACATGAAAAGCAATAACTGCGGCTTTTGGTTGTGTTCCATAAAAGTCAAGCTCATCATGACAATCATGATCGATAACACCATTCAAAATCATTTATGGTTGCATTCGTTCACGCATGTTCTTCTAAACCATACCAACAACAATATTCAACCCTCAAGTTTTATTTTTCCTTTTTTTGAAGAGTGTATGTTGAAGTACATGCAACGAGGGCCCTTCTAGTTTCCAAATTGTAGAATTCATGCTTGTGTTTTGTATGTCAAATAAGTTCAACGCTTGTATTTCAACAGCAAAGTTTGTTCTTGCAGGTTCATTTGTTGGGAGATCAGTGTTGGCGACCGTCGATGAGAAAATGCATTTTGTAAGGCCCCCCGAACCCTAAATAGTTGCCGTTGTCTGATTGGTTAAATCCGTTCGGCCGTCTTCGCCTTTGATTGGACGGTCATAGGTCGCTCAAAGGTTACCTGACGCGACCTTCCACAAGGTTTTGTTTGACTCAGTATAGCAGTGTAACGAATAATACTGAGGCTAAGTTTACTTAGCCTGGGAGAATACATTAATTGAATAAATGGTTTCCATTAATATAACCAAATACTTACAATGTGTCCGATGAAGGACGATGATGAAGACGATATTTGATTGGTTCATATGATTATGTAGTGGGGAACATTCCTCAGTTATCTCCCTTTACAGCTTCGCCAATAGATGGCGCCAATCACTACGGTCCTAAGTATACTTCCGGCATAATGATGCCGTTCCAAGTTTGTTGCACGGTCGATTTCAAATGCGCAGCAATATTACGATGCCTGAAACGTGCTGCCGTGCCTCGGGATGCTGCAATAGAGGTTCGACGTGTCCGAGAGGTCAAAACTTGCTGAAATGGTGGTTGACTATCATTCGAAGTAGAGACGAATGAAACAAAAGCATGACGAGGCAGCCGTCAGCTCTCGCTGGTCTCACTCTCAGTGCTGTGTGCCATTTCCACTTCTTACAGAGCGATTTCGTTACTGTAACTAATAATGGTAAGTACCACGTATTTTGAATATTTTACAATTTGAAGAAAACGTTGTTATTGTTCTTGTCCTTGCCAAATTTAGTTAACGAGCAGGGGTTTTGAATCGATTCAGGAAAAAGAATGTGTTGCTTAAGAGGGACCCATGCTGTACAAAACTTTTCACGCGAAACATTAGG